CAGAAGGAAGTAGTGTTCCTTTATGTCAAATGTTGTCGGAGGTTCAATACACAGAAGAATATTCGGGTTTTTTTTTAAATGGCTAAAAGGTAAACGTGTTCCTAACGAATGTGTCTCGGACGATTCTGCTGCAATTTTAGGCGCTATTGTTTCAGTGTTCAATGCATTAGATTCCACCAATACTTACATACAACAATGTTTTCAATTGCTCGAAGGTAATTGTGATTCTGCACCAAAGTGAAAGTACGTTCGCATGGATAAATCTCATTTTGTAAAAAGTCTTTGTAAACAGTCGTGCTTTGATCATGTCGACAAACGGGTGAAGAGCTTTTATATAAAATGTGTATTGTTATTAAGACGAACTGAATGCTACAAACAATTAAAGAGCGCATTAGAATGTATTGTAACAATAGCATGCAATAGATATATTGGATTGACCGAGAGTAAACAGTTATATAGGTGCAGCAAATCGTTGATGAAATTTCAAACCATGATTTCTAGTTTAGAAACTCAAGTAGATCATCCATCATCAGAAGACGAACATGAAAATCACATTGAAGAAGAAATACCCGATGATTTACACGATGATCCATTAGCCAGTTTCTGTGAGATCATAGAGAGACGAGAAACAGTGTACAATGAAAATATCAACGAAGGCTTTGACAACGAAAATATGTATTATTGTCCTACATTTTTAAATTATTTAAAGCGCATTTAAAAAAAAACATTTGTGGGGTGAAGTAATGACGAGGTATTTTTATTTAGCGAGACAGAACCCTTCCAGTTCGAACGTAGAACGCTATTTTAAAGACATCAAAACCGTTTTACTGAATGTTCACCACGAAAGGTCACGAATCGACGAGTTTCTACGAAAGCATATACCTCAAGTATCCGGTACAGTGAAAATGGCTTTAAGGGACATAATTCAACATAATTCGTCGCCCTCCCAAAGAAAAACCATAGATGTTCCGTTGCCCCCTCAAAAAACAATAATAACTTTCGAAACCAACGTAAACGTAAAAGTTTTGACAAAGAATCATATTTTCTAGACTCCCTGTCGTCATTAGAAAACTAGAAAGGACAAATGAACCCAAAAACCGAAATCAGTCCATATTCTAAAAAATGGCTCCCTTACTTGTTCGTACGTACCAAACGTGAAAAAATGTAATACTTGCGCATTTGACAGCATTTTTCAGAGTATGGAAATTGCATATGTCGATAGGCCCGAAATAAAAAAATATATATTTCGACTCATAAAGATAACGAAATCTGTCAATTTATAGTGCAAATTGCTCAGAACGACGAGGATAAAACCATTTTATATAAAAAAGGACTCATTTACTACTCAAGCTTTTCGACAAAGAGATCAATTCAGACGCTTGCAATTTAGTAGATTGCGTAACAAGTACAGCAGATATAATTAATATGTTATATCCAACTTTTTGTATGTTATATCCAACAAAAGTGAAAAATATGTATAAACATGCAATGCCTCTCTGACAAGAATAACTTTACTAAATGTCCGTATATGCCTATCAATATCGAAATCATAGAAAAAGAGGGGACAGCGGCATTAAACAAGTCTATAAACAAGTCAATAAATAAAGACAAAGGTACCAGTTCTGATTGTGGTGCTACTGTGAAATTTGATTATTACCCAACGACTAACTTATTTATTGAGACATCTGGCGTTGCTAGCATCAACATTAATAATGTACCGTGCTGCATCAAAATAGGCAAACAAAAATATGCTGTCTTGGCTATTATTCAGTATGTACCAGGCGGCATTGGACATTTCAGAAGTTGGTGCTATAGGAAAGCTACAAAAAATTAGCAGTGTTATGACGATTTACAGGACTTAACCACATTGCCTTACACCCAGATATTGCCTCAAAATATAATCTATACAACTTAGTTTGTATTTAAAACAACTCAATTTTCTTTCCAAAAAAGAAAAATGCCAATTACATAAAACACTAATTTGAAGCTATAACAATTTTTATATTTGGTCTTTTTTTTGGAAACAGTTTTTTTAAAACTTTTAAAAAAAAAAACTATTACCTATTTTATGTGAAACTCCAAATATCTATAAGATGCATCAAATGCTATGGATGTGTACGTGTTATGTACTTGCTGTACATAATTATTATTCTAAGTCTGATTATTCTAAAATTTTTTAGTTTAAGAAATAATATAGATATACTGTACTGTTAAATCTGTGATTTTTAGATACTTACGTATTTTTCGTTGTAATAAAAGTCATTCATTCATTCAATGAATTCTTATCAATAGTCGTACGCGACCGTACTCCACGCGTCTCGTTCGTTTCGTGTAAGCCAGGAGCCCAACACGACATACGTACACTAATAAATGTCCTGTCAATCGATAAATCCTAAGATCATTAAGGAAAAGTAACTATATATATGTTTTGCTAATTTTGCTTGTATTGAAAACTAAACATTATTATAACCTTCAAATACCACGTTATTATAAAAAACACACAAAAGCTGTATATTATGCAAAATATGTACATGAGCTCCGAGACTAATACAGGTATAACCTCAAAATAATAAATCGGTTGTATCTTTTTAATAAAGAAGCGACTAATTCTAAAATTTTGCGACTAGAATCGACTAATTCACGACTTTTTCTGGGTGCAATCAGATCTAAGCTAGGAGCAGTGGTTCTCGAGATCCAAAAATAGAGCCGACGGAATAAGCTTATTACAGCGTGGACAGTAAAACATCTTAATAACTTCAAAACGGCGTAACGACTAAATCTAGTTTTTTACGACTAGAACCGACTAAATCACGACTATTTTTTAGTGTAATCTGATCTAAGCTAGGTGTTGTGGTTTTCGAGATTGAGAAATGGTGCCGCTGAAATAAGCTTATCCCAGCGTAGACAGTAAAATACCCTTATAAATTTTGAACGACGGACCGTCTAAATCTAGTTTTTTGCGACTAGAACCGACTAAATAGCGACTTTTTTTCTGGCTAGTCAAATTTCAAAAACTCGACCATGGTCACGCTGGAATAAAGCACACAAACAAAAACTTTATACTAAAGGTTATTACACACCTTCTGTGCACTTGGATGACAAAAATCCGTGGTAGTAACCCGTTTAGCTCATGGAGGTAGTCTCGATCTTTGATGTTTGAAAGCAAACAAAAATATATATCAGATCTTTAAAGAGAATACATCTGCCACCCTTCGAGCAATAGATAGGATATTCATCGTATTTGTTGACTGTAAGTATATTTATACTAATAAAAGCTCATATATTAAAAGACAGTAATTTACACTTTTATATTTATTTCTAACCACGATTACGTAATATTTAACTTTATCATGTTGTATTTTAACAGTTTGTAATAATGAATATGCACACTTTTGTCGTTGGTCTGGAGATTATATTGTTGAGACATTTACTTTTTGTAGTAATATTGAGTTAACATCAATGTTGAGACAAAATATCGTTCTTGAACACATTCCGCATCTAAATGGGTTGCTTTTGCAATAACTAATTAAATCGATCGTTACTAGTGCCGGCGAAAATGCCAATGTCGTGTTCACATATAAAGAAGCACCGTACGTAGCAGCTCATATCGTTGAGGCCGCCATCATAGAACATGCTGCCGCATACTTCTGTGCCTCCCCTATTGTCCGGTTGACCTCCGCCCCATTTTGCGTAACCACTGTTGTAGAGAGGTACCCCTGAAAATTAAAAATCCGCAATTAAATGGAGGATTTATAAAAAGGCAACAACAAAAATGTACGACTTTGTAATTTGAACTTTTTTAAACTGGTTTTGGTCCGGGCTTCTGGTTAGTGAATTCCTTGCTGCTCTGGTACTTATAGTACAGAGAATTCCCTAGTTTCAGACCAGGTAACCGGTGTGGTTGACACATTGTTGTTATTTATTATAGGTACATCCTTACCAAAATATTTTATTTAACTAAATCTAATCGAAGTCTGATGGCGTGAGCATGATTTGTAATCCTTCTGCTACTGATGTTATTTCTCAAGTTAGAGATATTTGTTTAAATATTTGGGATACAGACTAAGAGGAAATTTCATTAGCAAGAGGCATTTGGTATAAGACGCTGCAACCGCGACCTCATCAAAAGCCTTGGTTTGATGGTGCGGATCTGTTATTTCAGCATTTAGAATTAGATGTGGTCACATTCCACTAGTTAAATTTTATCACTTGACAGATATCAAAAAAAAGCCTCACTCCTTTGCGAATATTGTAAAAGAATAGAAAACCTGATCCATCTGTTAGTGGAGTGTAAGCATACTATAACCACAAGAGTACGATTCGGATTGAAGAGTTTGGACTTAATGGAGACATAAATATTGTTCTGCGAAACCCTTCACATAAAGTAGTCGTAATGATCTATAACTTGCGTAACTTATTGCATAAAAATTCAAAAATACGCCTAACTGACCACGCAATTTGAGATTCCCTATGAGGCCATACAGTATAGTGTTTAAAGGCCTTGTTAAAAATAAAGAAAGAAAAAATGTAATCGAGTCTTAATTAATTTTATGATATCTTCTTTAAGCTGCTCTACAAAAATTGCAACTAAAGATAATAAGGTACCTTTAATGGTTTTCCACTCATCTGAATATTTTTTATGGAAGCCCAAATGAACAGTACCAGCCAAGTAGTCCCCATGAACCTTATGCTTCGGCGCGTCAGCCGTCATTTGTACCAGATGGTCAGCTTCCACTTGACTTTCAATTATGGCAAGGTACGACTGCTCCGCACTACAAGTAGTGATTGCATCAGTCCAATTCTTCGGGGTCAAATGGAACTTGTAGCATTTTCCCAATTTTTGGTTAAATATGTAATCTGAAATGTTTGGTGTATAGTAAATATAAAGTTATTTTATGATATACTGCGAATGGGGAAGTAGAGAGTCTTTGCTACGAATCATATTATCATTCGATAAATCGTAATTAAACTAGAGCAACTCGTTTTTTTGGAATTGGAATGGAAATTACTACCTAAATTGAATATAGTAACAATAAAACAAAAAGACGTCTGAATTGGTAATCATCTCATCATCCTCCTTGAACCCTCCGAGCGCTGATTCTCACTACAGACGTGGGTATTTAGAAGTTTATAATATGTACTAATATTTGTTTAATTTTTTTTCATTTGTTTATAAATTTAGTGTTACAAAAATATTTTTGTGACCATTGTGGCCATTCAACGTAATAATAGCACTACAGTGTTATATAGTATAATCTGACAAGTTGAAAGATATTAAAGAAAGAACTAAATACATGTAATTCTTGGTCAACTAAGAAATTTTATTTCTTTTGACTGATTGAAGCTATGATAGGCTTGATCTATCGCCTCTCAAACAGAGGCCGTGGGTTCAAATCCAGGTTCGCGCCTCTGAGTTTTTCGGAATTTATGTGCGAAATTTAATTTAAAATTTACCATTTTCGGTGTAAGAAAACCTCATGATGAAACCAGCACGTCGAAGAAGGTTCATGGAAAACTTGTGAAGTCCCCAAGCCGCATTGGTCCAGCGTGTCGGACTTTTGCCTAAACCTTCGCCTTAGAGAAGACCCGTACCCAGCAGTGGGACGCGTAAATGGGTTGATGTTGTTACTAGCTTGGGACAGTATGAGTGCTCGTGTTCAAGAGTTAAAAAATTGGCTGTTACATACTTCTAAGCTTATATTGTCTTACAGAATTTAACATACCTTTGTCAGGCATATCACAGTCTTTGTTCCATTCGAGATCGGCTAAGGCTTTCTTGCATATGAAAGGGTATTTCTTATCACAGCGATCGTCGTGTAATTTTCCTTCTTTGTTCAAGGTAACACAGCCTTCCATTCCATCCGCGTCGTTAGGTTCTCCCGGCGCCCAGCGGTTGTATACGTCTTCTATTGGATTACCTGGAGAAATTGTAGAGGATTGATCAGCTTCAGATTTTCTTACCCTTAGTATAGTGAATCGCAGCACTCGCTGCTTTTGTATATATATATATATATATATATATAGGATGTATATTTGAAAGTGAGACACACTTATAGAGTCCGTTATATTCCTGATTCTAAACCCAAAACAATAATAAACTAATGAACTTAAACTATCGAGTTCTTAGGTTTTCGCGATTGTTACATATAGGAAATGAATCTATTTTTCCGGATTTAAATCGCGTATATTTGTTTTTTCAAACAAATCGACGTTTCATGAATACGTCAGATTATAACAGTAAAATAACTGACTTACTATCGGATGAAAGCACGTATAAAAAGGTGAAGAAAGACCCTACCACCAAGATATTAAAAACAATAACTAACTTAATATCTAAACACTCGGATACGCTGAAACTTAATGTAAGGGAGTTTGTACCCTGCTGCGTAAAACCACCAAAACTGTATGGGTTACCAAAAATACATAAGGCTGACACCCCACTCCGTCCCATAGTTAGCCATATTGACACACCAACCTACAAACTGGCTCAACACATGGCAAAGGTACTGTCACCATTGAGAGGGAACACTTCTACTCACGTGAAGGATTCATACCATTTCATCAGTGGAATCAAAGATCTACGGTTAACTGATGATGACACCATGGTCAGTTCTGATGTTCAGTCGCTGTTTACCAACCTACCAGTAAAAGACTGCATTGAAATTGTAAGTAGAAAGCTGAGGGAACATAATATGTCCATTGAATATGCAGAATTATTAGAACAGTGCCTAACATCAGGCTATCTATTGTGGAATAATGAATTCTACGTACAAATTGACGGTATAGCGATGGGCTCCCCGGTATCTCCCGTTGTTGCCGATATTTTCATGGAAGACTTCGAGGAGCGAGTTTTACCCATGGCCCCAGCTAGGCCGAAGGTTTTCAAACGGTACGTTGATGATACTTTCACAATATTACCTAAAGATAGCATATTTTCTTTTTTGGACCATCTTAATTCTTTTAGTACTAAGATCCAACTTACTATGGAACAAGAGAAATGTGGTACTTTAGCTTTCTTAGACGTTTTAATTAAAATAAATCCTAATAACACCTTAGGCCATACTGCATTTCGAAAGAAAACCCATAGAGATAGATATCTCAATGGTAATTCCCATCACCATCCTAGCCAGTTAGCTACCGTGGGCAAATCTTTGTTTCAGAGAGCATATGGTATCTGCGACAGTAATCATCTGGCAGGGGAACTTCAGCATATAAAACAAGTCCTACATGCGAATAAGTTGAAGATTCCACGCCAATGCCGCAGGCCCCATGTGAAACCACCAACAGTCGAGCGAAGACCTGCCATCTTACCTTACATGAGAGGTGTTACAGACAAGATCCGAAGAGTCCTCAGGCGTGCATCTATCAAGAACTATTTCAAGCCCCTGAGGAAGATTTTTCAGTTCTTGAGACCCGTGAAATATAACATCCCCTTACAGGATGCAGGAGTTTACAAGCTTGACTGTGAGTGCGGTCTCTCTTATATTGGACAAACAAAGCGAAGTATTTGTACCCGCGTCAAAGAACATATAGCTGATGTCAAACACCGTCGCGTAAACAAGTCTGCAGTCTGCGAGCATGTCATGGATAAACCTACACATTCAATGAAGTTTGACAAACCCCAGGTCCTTGCAAAAGAAGTCCGTTATCTACCCAGGATGCTGCGAGAGGCCATTGAAATTAAAAAACATCCTAATTTCAACAGGGAAGATGGTTTCTCCGTACCACCAGTTTGGGATCCAGTATTTCCTCTAATGAAAAATCCCAAACAGACATAAGACTGCAGTACTCATTAATATGTTTTAGTTTATTCTAATTTCTATTAATAATTAATCATAAATTAAACTTAATAAAAATTCATTCAATAAATAATTTGTAAAACTTAATGTAGCGTAAATTGGAATGTTTTCTTTGTAAAATTAAAAATAAAGTATTTAATTAATAACTATTGTAACTATAGTGAAAAAATAGGGTGGTTTGCATTAATATTAGACATAACTGGTTGAAGACTGTACCACCTCAGTCAACCGTGACCATGGGACCTGTAAAGGGCCCGAAACGTCGGTTTGTTTGAAAAAACAAATACGCGATTTAAATCCGGAAAAATAGTTTCATTTCCTATATGAACTTAAACTAAAGTAAAGTAAAAAAACTAAAAAGAAATTCAACGATGTACGTAGACAAATGAGTTCTTATTGTTGTGCATTGGTTTAGTAATTAAATAAAAATTTTTGCATAAGGAGAATTATATATAATATTACATTTAAATTAATTACAAAATTGGGGACGTCCTAAAAGACGATCCAGGTCAAGAGTAGCCTTAACCAATGGGCGTGTATGAAAGTATTGGTTGTGTTAAGGCGAAAGTTGTGTGCCAAGGAACAGTGCCAGGAACGTGACAAGTGGCAAGCTGTACTCTCTGCTCACTCCGAAATTAAAAATACGTGAAGTGTATGTAAACACATTAAAATTGAGAAAAAATAACGGTAAATGGTATTTTAAGTAAAGTACCGTATTGTAAGTAAACGACACTGGAACATAATCTTATCGTATCTCGAAAAATTGAGAAAAAGAGTTTTTTATAAATTAAGAATTAAAAAAAATTCGCATTTTTTGATCTAGGAGTCATGATGCTATGACGATATTTTTTATTATACTACGTCAATTGTTCACGAAACACACAGCCAAATGCTGTAAATAGAACTTTGCTAATTCAATATTTCGAGGTACGACAAGATTGCTTTATAACGTCGATATAATGAGTAGTAACCTTCCTTAAAGCTTGACAGCTGTTATTATTATGTAAAAACTTACCGTCAATAGTTTCAAATACTTCTTTAGAAATGGTATTTGAGATGCCAACAAGGACCCAAGAAAACGGCTGTGTTTCTTTCAAGAACTTAACAACTTCCTCGGCCTCATTCGCATTCTGGGGGTAGAACAATTTGGCTCCTTCCAATTCACAACGTTTTTTGGCTTCTGCCCATGTCCGATGAATTGTATGGACTTTATAGAAGTTATCTATCGAAATCAAATATGTGTAGTCTTTTCGGTAAAATCGCTTGTTCACTTGACAATCTAGAAATAAAATTAAATATGTAAAATAGAGTACTTAGGTAAAGGTTATTGTAAAAGTTTAACAGTATCGCCGCATTTATGAATATATATCACAAATATACATCTAAGTAAGAATCTCCATTATTTTTCTCGTAAACATATTTGACTATTCATTGTATCTAGGTATCTTGAGATGCTCCTTTTACGCAATAAATGATCACCCGTCTTGGCTTATTGCAAAATGGTCACAAATTCCTGTGTACAGTTGGAAATACCAATAATAAAGGAGAGTATAGTCCATAATATACAATAATAAAGTCGGTACTTACGTATATTCGACACAAACACTGATATCATGAATAATAAAAATACAAAACTTTTTAAGGCGCTCATGTCTGCGTGGTACAAAGAATCGCTTACAAATGAAACAGGAAAAATTTTATTCAAATCACAATTCACTTTAACGCTACGAGACCTCTACTATGTTAATAGCGGTTGGTAGGTGAACTGGTTCGTTTGCTAAGTTCGATAAGTTTGGATAACGATATGCATCTTGTCGTCTTGGTAGTCATCGCAGTTGTGATAGGAGATCGACTATTCGCAGCCGTATATCTAATAAAGTATAAAAGTAACGGGACTTAATCGCGTAGTATTTTAGTCAGAAGCGGTCCGACTATTTTCGACCTTAATCGATGGTCTTCTTCAGGGGTTGAGTGCAACATTCGCGACCGCGTCACGTCTAGCATTGCGCGCTGAAGCTCGCTGCGCGCGCGCCGATGACGCAGTCCGCAGTGGGGAACTCGGGGGGCTGATACGTTACGTCAGCGCGTCCTGGAACTCTTCTTCGCTACTGCTCTTCTTCTTCGCAACAATCCTATAAACAGATAGGATTGTTGTCGGGAACAGTCCAGCACACAGAGCTAAAAAAAGAAATTTTTAAACTGTTTATTACAAATATTAATAACAAGTTACAGTACATTCAAGGTAGAATCTTAAAGTTAAAGATTATTTATCCTTTTCTAGTGAGTTGCGTTAATATATAAGGTACAACAATTAAATCAATGACCAGTTTGTGTATGCCTCCTCCGATATTGATCTTTCATATAAAATCTTTTTAATTTGTTTTTGACTTGTATAGGATTTTTATCTGTTATTTCATTTATGAGATTATTTGGTAAGCAATTTAATATCAGAGGTAGTTCACACATCCAAACTCTTTTACCATAATTATTGTTATATTTAGGTATATCATACATAGGTAGATGTGATAGTGTACGTAATGAATTCGGTCTAATTTTAACTTTAAACGACTTTATTTTTCCACAATTTTCGGTTATGATTGCTAATTTAACTTTATCAAAGACATTCATTACGTTACAGTACTGAAATAGTTGGTCATAATTATCTTTAAATTTATATCTAATTCCAGGAGGTACAATGGTCTTAAGCAATCTTATTTGAAGGCTATAAATATTCTGTGGGAATGTTTTGTACGTACGACCATAGCTCGAAATACAATAATTAATTATAGAGTCAGCCAGTGCCAAATATAACATTCTCAGTGTATTATATGGTAGTTTTTGTTTGAGTATACATAATTTGGAAAGTACCGCCCTAAGCTTATTACATACATGTTCAACATGTGGGCCCCAGTTAAATTTATGGTCAATTTTTATTCCGAGATACATATGTTCCTTTACCAATTCTAATGATTTACAATGACAGTTTATGGGCTGATGATGCATGAAATTATGATCGTGAGCTACAACTTGCGGTAAATGTCTACATTTTAAGTATGGTGACCGTATATGTAAGAGTTTGGTTTTTTGAAAATTAATAGATAGACCCACATCATGTGCCCATTTACACAGTTTATCAAATTCTTGCGGCATCATGTGTTGGGCGACTTTTAAATCTTTGTGCGCGGTTAACAAACAAGTGTCATCAGCGAACTGGTATACTGAGCTCTCTCGTAATACGTTGTACATATCGTTCACATAAATTAGATATTCGGTTGGACCTAGAATTGAGCCTTGGGCCTTGCCGCATACTGTTGGAATTAAGTCACTATTTCCACCGTTTATACTAACAGTGTTACGTCTTTTTTGATAATAATTTTTAAACCAACTCAACATTGGGCCCTGTATACCATTTTGCTCCATTTTTTTATATAATGTTTCATAATTTAGCGCATCAAATGCCTTACTAAAATCTATCAAAACTGCTAGTATATGTTTTTTATCATTTAGATGGCCATTTACTTCATCCGAAAAAAAAGACAATAGTTTGGTGGTGCTTTTATTTTTTTGAAATCCGAATTGCTTCTCATTAATGATCTGATTGTTTGACAAGAACTCATTAATTTCCCTCCCTATATATTTTTCTATAATCTTGTCAATACAGGATAATATTGTAATGGGCCTATAATTGTTAGTATCAGTGAAGCTACCTTTCTTATGTATTGGTCTAATAACACCTATTTTTAATCTATCAGGATAAGTTGATGTTGTTATGCACCTATTTATCAAATGTTTTAGAACAGGTGCATGTGCAACATCCAAGGCAATGTATTTAATGTCCTTTGCTCTTATTTTATCTATACCAGGACTATTATTGGAGTTAATACCTTCAATTATTTTTATCAATATATTTTCATTTATTTTCTTTAATTTAAATGAGACACTTGCCGTATTCATATATGTTATTTTGTCAAGCAATGGTGTGGTACAGTAATTAAATAGATTTTTTACGTTATTTTCGAAATCTTTTGCAAATTTATTTGATAAGTCTTTAACTTTCATACTGAAGTACTTAATAAGTACTTCATCAATGACCGGTACAACCCTACCTGGTTATCAGGTAGAGTTGCAGGGCAGGTAGGGTCATATTTACAATTTCCCACATTTTCTTTGGATTCTTCAAATTACAATGGATTTCTTTTTTTATCGAACTATTTCTGGCTTTATTCATGAGTTTATTTGTTCTATTTCTATACCTTTTGTATATTATAGATCATATAAATATATGATCTATGCACGTTTTTGAAGTGCCTCTTTTAGTCGTTTCAATTCTGGTGTATTGATTAATAGAACATTGGAATCCTAATTCTGTTAATTCGTTAAGATAGGAGCTTACCATTGTGCTTGGTTTACTTATATCTATGTTCATATCACCTACTATAAGACAATTAGAATTTGTAGGATATTTATGTATGAGCCGCGATAATTCACTGACAAAACTACAAACATTAAGATGAGGCGGTCGATAAATAGCACAAAGGTTTGTTTTATACCCATCATAACAGATTACTTCCCCAAACAAGCACTCAAAGTTAAATGTTATTTTTTGAGTATTGCACAAACGTTATACTTTTATGAGCATATAACTAGCATATAGCTCACCACGTCGTTACTACTAACATCTGCAGCTGCATACCGAGCGCCATGAAGATACGGCTTTCAGGTCGGTAGCAAGCTCCAGCCTCCGTCTCTATTAAAATTTGGTCGCCTACTTATTTCTATAGTCTCTCGGATTTTGCGGGGCACAAAATACATCTCCCTAAAAGCTTTATCAAACCGAATGTAGTGACCAGCACCGAAGCTCACAAAGTGGTCTGCCACCGCAGATCCATTGACATCTTGGTTCTTCATGGATCGGATATGCTCAGCTAACCTAGTAGCCACGTTCCGCTTCGTTTCGCCGACGTAACACTTGCCGCAGTCACAGGGAACCATATAGACACCGGGGACCCCCAGAGGTTCTCTGTCCTTTGGAGAGCGAAGCAATTGTCGCAGCTGTGTGAGAGGAGGGAATATTGTTTTGATGCTGTACCTTCAGCGTAACAAGTTTCCAATCACGTCTGTCACCCCCCTTACATAAGGTAAGTACGCTACCGCTCTCTCTACCGATGCCGTACGAGGCTTCGTTGATGCATTTGCCACACGCCAACTCTGTTTCCACTTGTAACCGTTACCAACCAACACGTCCTTCACATGATTTAGCTCAGCATCTATGTAATCCGGGTCGCAAAGTTTCAAAGCTCTATTAATGAGCGTCTGTGGGACTGAGGCTAAATGTGCCGGGTGGTGATGTGAATCCGCTCTCACGTATCTATCCGTGTGCGTTAGTTTCCGATACACCGCATGAGACAACCGACCGTTATGTTCGCGTCTCACCAACACATACAAGAAAGGAAGAACCCGTTCTGCTCATATTCCAGGGTGAAGGTGATCTTCGGGTGAACGCTGTTTAAGTGTGCCAATAGCGACTCTACTCCCTCTTTAGGCACACTGGCAAATACGTCATCTACATAGCGCCACCAGTATCTCGGTTCGAATGGAATGTTCACCAACGCAGTATTCTCAAACCATTCCATAAACATATTACGTGACGTCTCTCCAGTTCCCAATAACCTAAGCGGCTGGAGGGACCGGAGAATATCTAGTTTATCTTCTACTAGCTCTCCGGGCTAGTGCCGGAGATGCCAGTCGCAGTGTCCTGCGACAATGTCCGGACATAGCTTCCAACTTAAAGGGCAACTCACGTGCCCCACGCGTCTCCTCGCTTCAGGCCCTCAACTAGATAAAGAAGGAAGGTCGACCCGCAGACTCTCCCTCTGCATACCGACCCATATGCCTGCTGGACGAGGCCGGCAAGTTGTTTGAAAGAACACTTGCCGAGCGGCTCAGCGGGCATCTGACGCAAGTAGGGCCTGACCTGTCGGAAGACCAGTACGGATTCCGGCAGGCGCGGTCGACAGTGGACGCGATCCTTCACGTTCGTACACTGTCGACGCAGGTACTGTCCCGGGGCGGAGTGGCGTTGGCGGTAAGCCTGGATATCGTCAACGCCTTCAACTCCTTGCCCTGGTTGACCGTTAAGGAGGCGCTCGAATATCATCGAGTGCCTCCGTACCTGAAGCGAGTTGTCAGGTCCTACCTATGCGACAGGTACATTACGTACCCGGGTCGGGATGGCGCAAGCCATCGCAGAGAGGTCGTGTGTGGGGTTCCTCAGGGGTCTGTCCTTGGACCACTCCTTTGGAACCTCGCATACGATGCTGTCTTGAGGGTCGCACTCCCCCCGGGCGTGCATCTGGTGTGTTATGCTGATGACACCCTGGTGCTCGCCGGAGGGGAGGACTTCGAGAGGACCATCCGGCTCGCTGAGCTCGGGGTTTCTCGCGTCGTTGAAAAAATCGAAGAGCTGGGTTTGCGAGTAGCGCCTCAGAAAACTGAGGCGCTGTGGTTCCACAAACTCCCGCGAGGGAGGGAACCGCCCAGCTTCTCTATTCGCGTTGGTGACGTCGACGTCCAGGTGGGGCAGTACTTAAAGTACTTGGGCCTTATCCTGGACGGTCGCTGGGATTTCGAGGAGCACTTCCGGCGCCTGGTTCCCCGGATCGATAGGGTGGCGGGTGCATTGCACCGGTTGCTGCCCAACCTGGGGGGCCCTTCGGAGGAAGTTCGCCGTTTATACGGTGGGGTGGTGCGATCCGTGGCCCTGTATGGGGCACCCGTCTGGTCACACCGACTGACGGGCGTCCGGCGTTGTAGAGCCATGGTCAATGGCGTGCAGCGCCGCATGGCCATAAGGATCGCACGAGGGTATCGCACCGTATCCTTTGACGCGGCGACTGTCCTGGCGCGGTTTCCCCCGCTGGACATTCTGGCGGAGATGGACGCGCGTATTTACGCGCGCCTCCGCCAGGCGGAGGAAGCTGCGCCGCCGGAAGTGCGGTGGCAGGAGCGCCGACGGGCGTTCGAGAAGTGGCGCGAGAGGCTGGAACAGCCGTG